AGAAGAAAAGCTGCCCTGCATTGTGATATTATCTATATTATCAGTGCAAGTGAGTAGAAAATATTCATCTTTGTCATTCTAGCTTTTAGAACAGCAGGTCTTTCATCTTGTCTTCAAACATTAGCGGCTATACTTTTGTTTGTATTGTCTTTGGCTGTCATCTACAAGTTGAAGAAGATCTTCTTCAATAATGTCAGATCGGATGTAGGAAAAGTTCAGATTCAAATTGCCAATTGAAGTCTTGATAACTAAGAAGGGGGCTTATTTTCAAGGGGTTCTTTATGTAGGGTGACTTTCCTGGTAATTTTTTATTTTTTTCTTCTGATATTCAACTATCTATATGGTCAAAAACTATTTATCCCACGTAACCAAAGTTTTTGTCATGCACTGTCCATATATGCGTTAAATTTATTTGAAATAGCTGATTAATGCACATGCCAATCTTTTATTCTGCCAATCACCTTTGTTATTTTTATCAATCTTTATGGATTAATTAGTGATCCTAACTTGGTTGTCCCAATTTTTCCCCTTAGATGCATGGCAATTTTAGCTTTCACAATCTCAGGACTTCATACAAGAAACCATGCTAGTTTTTATACTCCAATATTTGACAGGCATCATATTGCATCATGTACTATACTGTGCTAAAACTTTATTGAACATCAAAACATACGAGGACATATCACCCATGTTGTTTACTTAAATCATTTAACTAAAGTTATTTTCCTTTAAGTAAGGTATTGAGCCTTAAATTCATGTGTGGAAAGATAAAGCTTTGTGAGAGAGCAAGAGAAATGGTATTTCTATGCCCTTATAAGAGAAGATGTACCTTTCAGTCTGTGTGCTACTAGGGTCCAGCATTCCATCATACGGTGTTCAGTTCAAATCTCCATGCTAGATGGAGTATAAGTCATGGCCTTGCTGGAAGCATGGTTAGAGGAGCCTTGCATGTTAGGATCTTGCAAGTTCAGGACCTTTAATTTAGTAGTAGCAATCTGCTCTGCTGTAGACAAATAATGATGGCCATAAATGGTACAATAGGGACCAAGATTGCCAAGCCTACGTAATTGACTACCTTAATGGTTCAAAGGATGATAGCTTTAATCATGAACAAGAAAAGAAGAATAAGAAAAAAGGCTCCCAGAAAATCTCCAAACTAGAGATAAGAAGCTGGAGCTCTAGAAGTTTGTTTTCTAGGAGAAACTTCTAGGAAATTACAACCATGCCGTCAATCAAAGGTCCATCCCAGTAACACCTCCATAAACAGGTTCTACACACAGCCATCATCTTGTGGTAATGGTGAAATTTCAGAAATCAACATGATCTCATGATTGGATGTCTGGGTCATCTAGGCCGTCATCTTCTCATCACTAAACAAGCATGGAAGATCATAGAGACAACAAATATCAGCCCTGGTAGACCAAAGAAAACAGTTATGCCTTAGAAGCAACATTCAAACAAGCAATGTTTTGTTTGGGAGTAACAAAGGTTTTCCAATAAACTCTTTTTTCTCTGATTTACCAAAGAGGCTAATTCTGCCTTTTACATAGGTTCTTATTTCTATTTCATGAATTGGTATCTGAACATGGCAGGTTCTAATAACCCTTTTGTGCGTACTTTGAGATGCATGAAAAATGCACATGGCATCTCCTTGTTTACCAATTTGTTGCTTTTTGTTTACTTTTGTAGGAATAACAATTTTCATAAGCGAGAATGCTGATTTGAGTTTTGTGAAGCTGTCTACTTCCCAGCTAGCTACACACAAATGGCGCTATTAGATAGGCATTCGTCCCTCTAATTTTAGATCAAGATTCTCTTTATCTTACCTCTGCACAAGAAGCATCAACAGGCCTGAAAGGACTGTATATATCATGACAATCAAATTTCACAGCATGTGTTTAATTTATCCCTTTGAATCCCTATCAATGTATTAGACTATATTTCAATTCTTTTTAATTTAAATGATGCCTTGGAAATTTTCATGGAATGTCAACTGGGTACATGCTATACGAAAGAGAATAACCATTCCTTTTCTTAGTGTCTTAAATCCCTTCTCATACATCTTAAGGTTTGCGTAATAACTTTATTCATTAATACCAATGGTTTGTTGATTCGAGTGGAAGAAACTTGGTTCTTTTTAAATAAGTTTTTGAGTTCGAGTTTTGTAAATGGAGAAATAAGTGTTAGGAGAGCTTCCTCCCTAATAAGTTTGATATAGTTCGATTTTGAATTAGTCAAAACTCAATATAGTTATTGGATACTGAAAGGTTAATACAAAAAAAAAAAAAAACTTTATTAATTTTGCAAGTCGTGATTTTTCTTTCAATAAATGCTGGGGAAGTTTTCAATCCCGGAACTGCAAAACTCATCCCTTATCAGGTATAACATGAGTCATGACTCATGACCACCAAGAGTTGACCTTGCCGTTCAATGGTCAGAGCAGAAGACATTGCTTCATATGTTGGCTATTTTATTGGAAGGAGCAAGTAAGTTAGAGGAAATGGGAATTAACGTTGGACTAGGATGGTTTCTTTCATTAGTGTTGCTGAAATCTTACTGGAAAATTGCCTCAATCACGGTCGTTATAAAATTAATAACCGACGGTTTTTCTGGT